TATCAGTAGATTATTGAATAAGATTGACGTATTGATTAATCATCAACAAATTTTATTAATCAATATTATAAGGCGAATGGAATTTCAATTGATGAAGTTGATCATTTACAACTATTTCACTTTCATTAATTCAGAATGAATTGATTTAAATGAGGAAACAGTGTGAACCGAACGAATGCAACAATCATGAAAAATCCTGTATTGAAAATTCAAATAATTGGATCGTATATAGCAAAAATGATAACCGAATTAAGGTGGAACGTAAGTAATTCGTTAATTGCGATCAGCAATTGCTTGGAGTTGAGTCGTCTGCGAACAAAACTACCAGATATTCGTATAGTTAACGAAATGCGTTGTTGGTTGATGAAGTTTGGGGATAAAGGAAACAAATGGGCATCGCATTCGTGTTCCATTATTATCGATCTCATCGAGGGGTCCGTGTTCTTAGTGTTATTCTTTACCTTTATTTCATAGTTGAAATATCCTTCTATCAGTATTGTTGGTTGCTTGTTATGTTTGTACTGTCAATTATAACAAAATGAATGCACATCTAAAATTGAATTGATCATCGTGCACATAAATGTAGAACTGTTGCTATTTATCAGTTGACTGAAGTGCTGACAATTGTTTTGTTGGAGGTATCGACCAAATGTTGTGTATTAATAAGAACTATCGTTATTATTGTTACTGTAATGAGTTCAGCAAAAGGAACGTATCGTGTAAAGAAATGGCGTTGTCATTTGGAAGTGGTCAAACAACAATTTCAACAGATCTGGAAGAGGAGATTTATAATGATGCATCGCTTTATCTACAGCACTCTGAAAATATTATCCCTAATACTGCCGATAATAATCAAGTGGAGCAGATCAGTGAACAGGTTTATCCATCGTTTCTGATAATCACAACGCTAATATTCACTCTTTAATTAAGTATTAAATGTGTATGCATTGTTGAATATTACATATCGTTCTTGTTATCTGCATGCAATAACAACTAAATTCGGTTTTTTGTGAAAGGATTGAAAGAATAATCAATGTGTGATGATGAAGAAGAAGGATTGTCTTTGTTCAGCGTTAAGGAATGAAACAATTATAATAATACTGATGATACTAACACCAACACGATCAGTAGTAGCAGTTACTGTTTGGTAAAAAAGATTGCTTATTTAAGTAAATGAGGTATTTAGAGTGCATCGCAGAATGGTGACGGCATCGGAAGGATAGAAACGAACGACGAGCAAAACGGTGATGATACTGAACAAAAACCAAACGACACTCCTGATAATAGCCACTATTCACCTTCACTGTTAACACGACTCGAAGTTGCGGCCAAACGTGCTGTTTCGAACAGTAGTAATGGTTGTATTGTGCAGAACGCGTCTTCAAAAAGTCAGCGCTCTATCTTCAACCTCCGTGATTTTCTGCAACTTCACGAGGTTGGTATTTGTTTTGTTTGGCTTATTCAGCATCTCGATGATGCACAATTTGGTCGATTCGCTTATGAATGGCCCAATCTTTGCTGATTATGGATTGTATTGTTTGCAGATCAATAAGGAGCTGAAACGTTATATTGGTCATGACTTGTCACAAAACAAACAGAATGGATTTTCAAGCGCTGTAAAGAATGAAGAAAAAGATCTGGGGAATGTTATAATGAAAAATCAACAAAGTTTCGAACAAAAGCTTGATGGGTAAGGGTTGGAATGAATTATATTTGTAATTAGGAACACTATTAGGAGAACATTGCAAAGCTTAACTATTTGATCAGATTGTTCAGTAACACAATGAATGTTCCTTATTGCACTTATAAACTTCATTTATTTAATTCCTTCGTGATCACTCGACAGGTGATCCCTAGTTCTTTCTTATTGTTCAGGTGATGAATGTATTTAGTACAACAAATCATATCAGTTCACTATCGTTTTACCTCACGATTTGGAAGTTGAATTATCTTTTGATTCAAGTCTTTAATATTGAACGAAATGCGCACAAATAATTCTTAATTATTATGTATATGCCATCAATTCTTTGTTCACACAAACTCAATCAAAATTGACATTCCCAAGTTTCGAACTGATATACATAGATTGTTGTTTGAAATAATGTGAAAGTTTACTGCAGAGTTGTAAAAATGATGCAAGAAATGGCTAACACCACGTCAACACCATCCACTTCAATGCCTCAAGCACCTATACAAATGCCCTCATTGCACATGGTTTATATTAACCCTTTGTTAATTATTTCAGTTCATTTTCCATTCAATGACTATATTCGTTCTAGCGTTAATTTGTTGATCATGCGCTGAGTAACGAAGAGAGCAGTGAAGAACAGTATAATAATAGACATACGATAATCAAATATCAGGTGAATTATTCCGTTTTATGTGCATCGAAATGATCTTTCAGCAACTCCCACCGATGAACTTTGCATATCAGCAGTCTCTGAATGCGTTGTCATCAGTAAACTATCCAAACAGTTGTACACAATCGCAGTCATCACT